TTTTTATATGGTAACTTAGATAGATGAATGAGACACCTTTCAAAAGGTGCGGGTGAATGTGTCGAATGTACAATCTGCACTCACACCAGTGTTCCAATCACGTGAGGTCACCGAGAATACGAAAGCAGTGAACCATGTGATAAACGTGGGCTATACACAAATCATTGTCCAAACAGCGCAAAGATGTAGCAAAATGAAACAGATAAGTCACCGACAATGCCACTGGCATTAAAGTCGAGCGTGGGCGACGGAGTTACAGTGGACCAGATAAAACTTCGGTCGTTATGTGGGCAAATCTCAAGTGAAGGCAGCAAAGATGCCTGGGGGTCAGATAATAAAGTACACACAGAAGAATAAGCAACTGAACCACCTGGAATGAACAATGGGCTTACAACGCAGAGAATCACAATTCTCCTACACATCAGTTTACTTCTTAAATCCAAGGGATCGTTCGACAGAGTCTATTAGTTTTGCACAACATGCTTGAAGTGAGACACTTTCCTCTTAGTCAAACTAACGTTTTATGTGCCCTGTATTCGAACACATCAGCTCACATGCAAGTTCCATTGTGAACTGTGAATACTTTTATCATTACAAGTGATATCCTCTAGGTTGATTCTGTAAGAAAAACTTTACCTTATTTTGTCATAGACCACATCATGGAGTGTTCCCTTGTGAATGCCCGTGAGGCAGACACTAAAGTATCGCTTGGCGCCAAGGATTCGAAGCACGTTGATTTCGTTGGCGCACATATGCGATTGGTAACCAACACCGAGGTACCCCCTTAAGCTTGAGGAAGACACCCAACATGTGCACGTGAAAGAACATCGCTACATATGGTTCGTGCACAGTTGATTCTGTGACACTTTTGGGTGTTTGATACAACAGGTTACACTTTCACAGCAAGCAAGGAAATCTGGATTTATGGAATGGTTAATAGGAGTCTCACAGCGCCTGTGCTGCTTCAACAGCATGGATGGGGCCCACCGTTTTCGTACATTGAATTGGGTGGCGTTGTCAGCTTGGTTGGTGCTGAGCGCAACCTTCTCGGGTTTAACGAATTTTCCGCTGGAAATAGTGGGGTAGGATGAGCCCACCGAAAACAGGCGTGAAATGATAACAGCTCAAATAGTATGGAAGCTAGAACTGTCTTTATTGAGTTCGGATGTCGTAGATTCCAAAGGAGCTCTATGTTTATCACACACTGAATTCTATGACTTCGATCTGCGAAGTTCAAGCACTTTCAGCTCTTTGGTTGCAGTTCCCAACGCAGCATTGCTTGTGTCAGATGTCACCAGCCTTTTTCACAGCGATGTGGCATGCTGATGCGTAACCCCCGATGGTGCTCAGCTTAGTAGTTGAACATCATTGTGACCATGGTTGGTGTCATGGGTGTCCATCCACCGTTTATCAAGAAGTGCCGTTTCGTTTACTGCTTTGGGACTGGCCTGATTTCACATGCCCATATTCCCGGACCACGCGGCTCCAACTGCGGTCATTTACCCTTTGATTGACTGCTGTCAGTACTTTGCGTTTTCATGATTGGGGTCCTGTTGCGGGCACGTCAACTATTCCCGCAAAAACGCGCCAGAAATAAAGGCGGAATGGCCGTGGAAACCGAGGTTCAATTCCTCCCCACAACGCAGCATAGCTCAGCCACTCCGAGACGCGGCGCAACTGCGCACCTTTCGACAATGCTCATTTGCAAACTACCACCTCTTCGCGGTGACTATTTCCCCTAACTTAATAACCCATAGCATTAATTGTGATCGCCCTTTGTTGGTCGTAAAATAGCTTACAGAGGACCACTTGCCTTCTCTTTCTCCTCGCCTCAGTTGGGAGTCGGTCGAGTCACGTGAGTGCGTGTGAGTCGTTAGCTGGCCAGCGTTCGCGTCTTAGTCATTAGCGCGCGTCTATCGTAACCTCCCTCTCGTGTGCGTCCATTCCGAGGGCTCAGCGTGTATCCGAACACGTGCGGCTAGGATCGTTCACAAGCCCGCTCAACTTTCCGTCTCACCGGCTAAGCTAGCGTCATCAGGTCAGCGCAACTCCGTTCGAGTGGCTAGCTTTACAAGTCGTCATCGTGGGCGTGCTCCAACCGTGCCAGCGACAATCTTATCAGGCAATTACGCAATCATAACAGAGGCGGCGTTCCCCTCAATTATAACAGGTCCATACGACTAAACTTACGCTTGGTTCCAGGCAGCACAGAACATCACACACAACTAGTGTCAGCAACGTGTTTTGGCTACCACATCCTAGCCAAAGTACCATTATAACATGTGTGTGGCGCTAAGTTATCCCCTATCAGTGGGGTCGTTCCTCTTATTTCATGATTGTATGACAACGACGCAGGGGAGCGAACGACCGGTATGCTGCCCTATGTCAACGGAATCTCTGAAATGGTAGCGACGCTTTTATTGCCTTTTGGAGTCAAAGTTGCACACCAGCCAACGGAAACGATTCGCAGTAAGCTCTTCAAAGTGAAAGCTAAAGTTAGCAAGGAGGAAGAAACTGGTGTGATTTATAAGATCTGCTGCCGGAACTGCGACAAATACTACGTGGCACAGACTGGAAGAGAGCTTGGCATAAGGCTACACGAACACAGCCTAGCCATTCGTCGCCACGATCAGAACCCCCTGATGTCAGTGCATATGGATGCCGAGAACCATCAATTCGACCTAGAGCATGCCAGTGTCCTCGGAAGGGCTAAAAACTGGCAAGCACGTGAGTTCATTGAAGCCTGGCATTCAAAGCAGAACTCGATCAATAAGCACTTGCACATTGAAGCCGCTTACGAGGCATTGCGAACCAGGCCCCTGAAGCCGCACTGATGATGTTGCCTAGTCAGGCAACAAAACTTTTGCACAATAATCACCCAGCTTGGAGAACAGCTCAAAACCCGTATCCACACCCCGAGCTACGGCTATTCTCATTTATTTCAGACCGGTATGCTATTGCAGACGATGTCGGCAGTGCTGGGCAAAAGCTGCATTTTTAATACTGACCGGGTGAAAATGCTCTGTGGTAAATTTAATAAACTATGTATTAACACAACTGATCGGCAGGTTGATTTGTTGGGAAAAACGAAACTAGCAATCAGCGCCACTTGAGAAAATATCTTACCCCCAAACCATCACCGCTATTTCACAAAATTCCAGATACAATAATAGGTGCAAGGTGACAAAACTGAACGCTACTCGATCACTCCCCTTTACTTCATTGAAAACGTCTCACTTATGAAACTGATAGAAGGCACCGAGTCAAATTGCTTATCTTCTTGCTAGCAACTGCCAGCCGATCCGGTAGTCATCATGAGCTCAGACTATTGTACGAAGGCTCGAACCCATTGTCCAGATAAACAATCATTCCCCCTATCAAGATGCGCGTACTCGCAGCTTACGAAGAGCAGCGGTGAATGCCGGTGTAAAGACGAAGTCGAAAGAGAATGCTTACTAATACGTGCTGAACCAACGCAGCAGGTACTATCACTTCGGATCATTCACTAGCAAACAGCAGATAGTTACAGTGAGACAAGTCAATAATCGTTTTCTTCAGTGTATGTTACCTGGAAGTCAGTAGGAGACTACATTTGGTCTGACAGTTTAATTCGCTTGTTTATTTGCTGTCTTGAGGGTGACCACAACCTGTCTTCACATCACCGTAACCGTCAACTAGATTGGTCACACAAATAACTAGCGTCACTTGCCCACCGCAGTTTTCACGAAAGGTGTGGTGTTCATCGGCTCTCAGACTTCGTCAGTTTGATTCCATAGGTTAACTCTACTATTTAACTGTATCAGATGAGTGATATATTGCAAATCAGCGCGTGTCCACTGGCATCGGTGTCTGGTTTGCTAAGGTAGTGTCGAGGGAGCATGCTAATCATAACAAAATACTCTAGGGGCAAAAATTCGTTTGTTTCAATTTTACTAGAATGATACTGACACCTGTGCGATACGAGGCGAGGATGGTCACGAAGATGTGCATCTTTGGTATCCGACTGTGAGAGTAGGCCATCTTTCAGTGAGGAAAAACAAACAGCGAATCAGCGGAAAGCTGAAGTCTACTGGGGTCCAAACAAGTGAGCCAGACATGAGTTGAATTGCACTGAAACCGACTGCTCTGCCTGTCTTGACCTCGCCCACGGCTTGTTCTGACCTTCGGGATGGATGTTTGGTTGACCGTGGATCGTGACCTTCGTCGATCTGCGCTCGAGAAACCGCAGCTTCACAATAGGATTTTACCGCTTGTGGCCAGAAACAAACTAGCGAAGGATAACATGAGGGCGCATTTTCGAGAAATGCTCTGGTTTGACTAGGAATAAGCAACTCAAACCAGGCACGTGTTACTTTTGGATCGCAAGATCCCAGTGAACTTCCAGTCAATAAAATAATGAATTAGACTGATAAAGGGATATCGAGCCTTTCAAACACTTTGCTTGATATGTTTAAGTACACTTTGTCACCTCATCCATAAGAGTGCTAGCGTATATGTACTGGCTAGAGCGACCGAATCTGGTCTTATGGTCCAGCACAGATGAATAATTTCGGTCCGTACGAAAATTCCTCGCCAGATAAAACCAATTGTTTCTTATCAATCATATATCTCTGGTGCCTTTCGACTAATCCATTACCAGCAGAGTAGGTTAGAGCTATGTGGCTGTTAGCGAAATCCTGAATATCACTAATTCAATTACAAAGTGCCAAAAAGTTGCTATTCCTTCTAGTGTGTAGAAGAATTGTTTCATTATGATGCATTGGGATAAGTCCGGATATACTGATTGCAGAGTGCACATATGGTTCCCAGATCGTGGCTAACAAGATGTACATACCTTAAGACAGTAGACTTCTCGTGCCAGTGCGCAGTAACCTACTTGCTCTCCGTAAGTCAGTAGTTAGTGGATAGGGGAGTTTGCTGCGTGGTAGTAGAAAGATAACGTATTGCTAAAGCACCCGTAGTGGACACTGCAAATGTCTTTTCATCACTCGTTTTTTTAGAAAGGAGACGGTTGCAGTTGATCTTCATGAAACACGTTTGAAACGTCAGGGATTTGAAAACTGGCACCTTAATACTATCCGGAACAGGGTAAGTTACCTCTGACCGAGCTTACTCGACATCTTAGCCAGTTGAAACCATCCCAATTTGCTATAACTTGTGACATATTCCTGAAGAAAATCTATTAATACTATTTGCTTAGTACCCGTTTCAATCATTCTTTTAGTTAACGTGACACTAGCCCGCTCATGAGTACTACTTATCTGACATTCCTTTTAAGTGCAGCAATGGATGGTAACTACGTTTCAGTTACGGAAATCTCTCCAGATTGCAAAAATTGTTCACCATTTGTCGTTGAGCTGTAATACTTGGCGCAACTTTCAGGTCTTTTAAACCATAACACAGAAAAACAAACATTTTATGCTACCCTTGTTAGGTAGGTATGTACTTGACACTTTCTCACGGTCGTCCACTCCAACTTTTCTTTGGCATGACCTCTATTTTGGCTTCTATTTATGAGTACTTTGAACATCGAGCGTAGCATGCCACTTTAAGTTGGTGTCGTTTTTGTCTAATTTTGAGCGCCCTGATCAAATCAGATGCGATGACGATTACATCTGTAATATTTCTGCGATGAAAACCAACATGAAAATTGCCCATGGCAAAAATCCCACTGGCGTAAATACCCACACGAAGAATGCCCACACGGAAGGTTACAGACATAGAAAATCGCTGACATGGAGAAACGCTCACATGGAAAAGTTAAAGCAGTCTGCAATTTTCTCGATTTGCCTGAGTACCATATGGGAAATTTTAATCAAAATTACTTCTTCTATTGTACACTTAGGTGACCGATACGGAATGTTGACCATGTCTTGGAGTCGTTTAACTGAACCGTAAAACACACCTGCTATCGCATCCCTCACACAGTTGCGACGCAAGCCGCTACTTCCACTTCCCTAGCTAACTCATTTCACTGAGTTCGTTTTATAGCGGTTCACTCCTTTACATGCTCAATTAAAGTGTATCGTTTAATTAACCCGTTGTCTTGGACTGAACGTTAGGCCTACCGTTTTCAAATCCTGCTGTGGAAAAACGCCCACTTCCACATTATTCTGTCAGATAAATCATTTTTAATAAATTGATCATTTTGAAATAAGTTGTAATGTCGTAACGGAGCTCAAACCAACAGTAAGCGTACAGGAATTGACTGTACTGGTACACTTGCTAATGTTTGTAAATAATTTATTCGTTGTTTTTGCCCCTTCTATACGAGCATTGTTCGTTATGGCAAGCTGTCAACCTTCGCAAGTATTTCGAGCTGTCTCGCGTCTGGTCATTATCTCTTACACAAGAGCCGAACGCACCTTGCAGCTATCACATTCTTCTTCTTCATCATCTCTAGGGAACCTGCCTGCGCATTAGTTAGTGCCAGTATGTGGCAGGCCATGTTCCACTGTAGTATTCTAAGCGAACCACACTAGTTTTGGCACAGAGCAGTCCCCTACGTGCCGAGCGATGGAACTAGCAAGCAACTGAGTGAATCTGTGGCAGTCAAATATGTTTCCGGGGGTGTTGTAGGCAAGGATCGAAATCAGCATCGTAATAGTGCAACAAATATGTAATATTATCAATCGTGACTGATTTGTCAAACGGTGGGTTGAGTGGAATTTAAGTTGCCAATTTTCCCTGTAAACACTTTTCTATATGGGCAATTTTCAGTGTGGACATTTCCCGTGTGAGAATTTTTCTTGTTGGTATTTTATCTATCGACCTTTTTCTGCGTGCAATTTCCGTGTGAGCTTTCTCCCGGTCACTATCCGCAATGCATGTATGGCATGGAATCACCATTCACTGGCATCACCACAGTCGGGGTCCGTGAGTTAGTCTTCAATCTTTGGAATTGTGATTCCATCTTTAAGATGACTTACTAGCCCTGGCTTAGACAAACCACCGTCAATTGGTGATTCTAAGTGAATTTGTATCATCGTTTTACGCTGCTCACAACCGTCCGAAAGCTAAACGCTTTACTGAGCGCATGATAAAGGTAGCATATTTACAGGCTAATCTAATTTGCTTAACGTTACTTCGGTGACCGAGGCAGTCTTATGGAAACGGCTCAGTTTTCTGTCATTTCGATCGTGAATGAGAAAACTTGGAAACAACTTGACAAACCATGGAGATAACCTACCTCAATGCAACCTGAGAACTGGCTAGGAGTCATTTGATTCCTCGCTTACTTCTGCATTTTAATTTGTGCTCATTGAGAACGGCGGAGCAGCTACTTCAGTCGATTTCTAGGGCAATGCCTAGATGCTGAGAGTGGACGTGAGCGTGAAGTTCCTTTGAAATCGTGCGGGTTTTTATCTTCTATTAATTGTTATCTTCTACGATTAAAGTCCGTGCAATCACTAATCATTTTAATTGTCGTCCATGATTAAGCGCAAGCAGATATCTCAGTCGCATTGGGCCGATTACCTTTCTGTGTGAAACCATTCAATACGGAATTCTCGGGGCAATCCGAAAAGCCTAAGCTTATTCCAATCCGGCGTTTCTCAACACAGCTGCAAAAGAATTTTTCATCTCTCAATCTCTGTTCAGCGCTCGTTCAGATTCAGTTATCACGTTCCAGTCACTCGCCATTCCTTGTGATCTTGCTAGCCAGTGCGCCTGCATAACCCATCACACGGACCGCGCGACCACGCCGACCGCTCATTTGACCTTGCAACCACTGCGCTCGTCTGATCGCTGTCAAAGCTGGAAATCTAGAGGACGCCAAGCAACCCATTAAGTCAGATAACGACACCACGTCGAATGGCATGAATGCGAATCCGAAAACTTCCAAGCAAAAGGCATTTTCGGGTTCAAGAGAATGTCATCGATTGGTAAAAATAGGTTTTGCTTGCTCGCAATGTTTGGAATGGTATTATTCGAAATGTGCAAACGTGTCCAAACAACAGGTACGAGAAAGGAAATAGCTCCCAAGACCCTTTGGTTCGGTACTGCGTGCTCCACCATCCCACTCGTTAAGTGCTTGCTTATTCTAGTTCAGAAGTGCGACCGGTTAACCGCAGAAGCCGAGCAAAGGATAAACGATAAGATTACTTCATTGGAAGCGAGTATGCTCCAGGGAAGCGTAGGCACCTCTAAGCAACGCAATGCTGTACAACCTGCTTTCCCTGAACCGCAGTCCGCCACGTCCCCGTGTCTGGTGCCTTCTCCAACTTTGGTATAACGCCGGACGAAGACTGCCCGTACCTACGAGAATTAAACAGTACTCATGGCAACGAAAACCAGGCACCATTCGAAACGTTTGGTAAGCTAATTCCATTGGACCTGACATCTAGCATTAACAAGGATGAAGCAACCGAACACCAACCCTCGGTACCTGTAGCTCAAATGTCTTGTCGAGACAACCCCCCGGGACATTAGTTACATATGCAGAGATTGCTGCAATGGTAAGCCGGGATGCCGCAACGACGGCCTCTACTGTTGTAAACACCGTTAACGCGAATAGAGTGACAAACAGTAAACAATCAGCACTTGTCAGCCGGTCAAGACAAATGATTACCCTACCTTGTAGATCAACACAAAAGAGCCCCAACAATAATGCCCGGACTGTTGTATGCTCAAATGTCCCAGAACCTACCTCCATCACATTGCTGGATAAGTTATCGGACGACCAAGACCACTGGAACTAATTGTGCCTGCTGATGATTGTCAAAGCCAAGCTCATAAACTTAGTACGAATTACTGGTCATTCGAACTCGCCACACTATGGAGAACCCAGATTTATCCGAGTAACACTAGCATCCTCCACCGAGGTAGAAAACGTTTTGCTCTCCGCAAGCGCGCTAAGACACGGATCATGTGGGATACGCATCTATTCTGTTGTACTTTGGAGTGCGCGACAGTCAAAAAGCAACCGAAGAGGGACACAGTAAACAAGACTACTTAAACACAATCTTTACTGATGGTGAGCCAGAACATCCTTCTAACGATGTTCAAAAGACTGGAAAGCACGACTTAGAACAGTGGCGGTTCATTCGTGAAACACTTTCTTTGGATAATATCGTGCCCCCATCGCTCAGCAGGATACCTCTCTCACCAACTCACAGAGCATGCGGCCCTAGAATCCTAAAACTTATGGTCCAGTCTGAGCAACAAGCAACGGATGTTTTGGATGTGTGACGGAGAAATCGGAAAATTCTTCCTTCTGAAATTCAGTTAAAGCAGCAAACCTACCGACGATGACAAAGCAGCTTAACTGGACTGCTGCTTCACTTGTCTTTGACGTAGGTCTAAACGAAGTTTGGAATGCACCATGTCCGAATCAACTTCCAGACGAGGTATCGTTATCCCATCTAAAAAAACGAGTAACTGCCGACCACCCATCGGTCAGCATTCTCCCACACGTGACCGCTTCACCCCACTGTGGGCTCCTAGAGACCGAGAAACTGGTCTACCTGTATATGAATGCTCAGGGTCTTTCTAATAAACTTGCCGAACTTAAAGGGCGCCAAGTTTCCGGGTCATATGATGTCATTGGTATCACCGAGACGTGATTGCACACAGGAATGTCTGACGCTGAAGTTTCACTATCACGCATGTCACTGATCCGGAACGATAGGCTCACGAAAGGAGGAGTAATTCTGTATTACTGAAGTGACTTAGAGTGCGAAGCCGTGGAGGATTCAGACTCGCCGTTCTCCAACTGTCTTTGGTGCCGCTTCCAGTTAAAAGGCAGAGACGTTTGCCTTATTGTCTTGGTGTACCGCCCCCTAATTCTACACCCGAAACTGACTGCCACCTGGCGGCTGCTTTAAGATGCATTTTATAGCGAAAGTACACTCACGTTATCATTTGTGATTTCAACGTACATAGTTTGTAAACCCCTCTTACGATCGGAGAACAACTCAAAGCCTATCTACGGGATCTCGTAACCACCGTTCCTCTTTACAACCACATCACTTTGCCTACTCGGTTCAGAACAGGTAACAGGCCAGCTGTGCTGGGTCTTGTGCTTACCAATGTGGAGCATATGATTGATTTGTTGGTTTTTGACTGCCCCTTGGGTCGCGGTCATCAGT